TAACACAGATTTGTCTGTTATCTCTCTGGTTATATTAGTCGTGTATAGTTTTATAGGTCTCACTCCACCATTTAAAGTGCCATTATTGTTCCTGCCTAGATTTTGGTGCAATATTTTTTTATAAATTTTTAAGTATTTTTTTATAATTTTGTTTTATCATTTTGGACCAAATTAAAATAATTTTCCATTGGCTACAGGTCTGAACCAAAATTTTTTAAAAATTCAGTGGAAAATTGAAAAAAATATTGCACCAAAATCTCGGCAGGAATATTTTTTTCAATATTTTAATACTTTTTTATAATTTTTTTTGGATCATTTTGAACCAAATTAACATAATATCTTATTGGGTACAGGTCTTAAACAAAATTTTTGAAAAATTTCTGCAAAAAAATCCAACATATTTAATTTTATGATGGTGACAAAAGTTGACTTTACTGCGACGGGTTCAACTCTTCATATTGATTGATAACTTCAAAATCAGGAAACTTTCGAGCCCCCAGACATTTTGTCACTTCACAAATTAAACCTGAATAATTTTTCTATATTTTTTTTCAAAATGTTGATCTACACCTGTAGGCAATTATGTGCATTTGGTTCAAAAGTTACAGTAAATGCGTAAAATTGAGCAAAATGTTTCATCCAAATTTTAGTGGGAAAAAAGATGGTATCCATTGCAAACGTTAAGTTGAAGAATATATATACTGTGGAAAACTTTATTTTCACTAGAATTAATTTTCGCTGAAAAGTCTTTTTGGGCATTTTGTATGGAATTTATTTTCACCGATTTTTGATGAGATTAATGTGAAATATAGGAAAAAAAGTATATTCGCTGGATTTTATTTTCACAAAATCATCCCTTCAGCGAAAATGAATTCCAAGCGAAAATAAAGTATTCTACAGTATGTATATATATTCAGTGTACTGTTGAGTGTACATGTGCATTTGTACTATAGTCATTGAATTTCTAGTAAATAAACATTGTATTTTATTTACAGTGCATGCCAAATGCAATCTATATCAATTCAATACCAAATTCTCTCCATGATTACAGTGACTCTACTCTGACTCTCTTGGTGGTACCGAAAAACGAGGATATCCTTCAGATGGCGTACTCTGGTGTGGCTTACAATCAAAGTAAGAAAACTCATACAGGAAGTGCTAGCGATATCCCAAGTCCACCGGTGGATCCGTACATCTCTCCAAGTGAAGCATCGTCTACTTCATCACTGTCAACACCTGTAATGGCAAGGACTCCCATAGATGAGCCTCGAGACAGGAGTGCTAGCGATTCCAAATTTAAAAGTGTAACGCAAGTTCAGCTAATGGATGCGAGTGATATCAGTTATGGTGACATGGGTATTTACCGTGCTACGCCGCATAGGACTAATTATCAACCCAATGATATACACCTAAATCATAACTCTTCACCAGTCGGTTTAGATACATATAACGATAAAGTGACCAATCATTTTAATCATCCACCTAACGTTAAAAGCAGCTCCGACTCGAGACTTGATCGCAGGTTGGACGAGTTAGGTAGGAGTACTCATGATCAAAGGTCGGAAATACTTGTACAAAGGGCAGTTGATTCAGACTCGGACACCGTCAGTCAAAGACACAGACACAGACACTCAGAGAGACGCGATACTGAGACTGGGCGCATGTTTGCAGCGTCTGCTTATTTCCAAAAACCTACTAAAGTGTCAGAAGATGTCACAAGGATAACTCAGGGGAACTCTAATAGTCCTCATACTGTGCATAGGACTGCTAATGACAGCTTGCACCCTAATGGATCTAATTCACCCCTAACAACTAGCACACATTCCAGTACTACCAAGCAGGTTGAATCTAGACCACTTGACAAGTCTGGCAGAGGACGAAGTGCCAGTGCTGATATGTTAACTCTGCCCGACAAATATGGCGCATATAACCACACTGATAGAGAGGATTCCAGAAGAGGTTCGTCACCAGTATCTCCGGGAGACGAGATCCTCAGGTATAGGCGAGATATATATGGGAAGGAATGGGACAGTGACACCTGCAGCGACGACAGGCAAATTAGTACTTACCCACTTACCAATAAGGGAATACATTCTACTGGGCAGAGTAATGCAGGTAGGAGGGGGGACAAAGTGATTGTAGGTGTTAAAACCGACGTACCAGGCCTATCTACAGGTGGTATGTCAATGAGAGAATATTTAACCAAACAACAAACACAAAGACATGATAATCTTAAAAAACATAACACACCAAGCGTCACTTCATCTTCATCTTCATCCGGAAGTACTCAAAAAGAACTGCCTGACACAAGTCAGGCTAGGACTACAGAGCCCAATATCTCAAGGACCGAAATGCTAACTAAGCGTCAGCCGTAGTACCGAAGGGACCAGTTGGACAAGGCACCCTGAACAAAAACTGCACAGGCAAAACACTGATCCCGATGGGTGTAATTTGTCTAATTTTAGACCAGTTAGATTAACTGATTCCAGGGGTTATGAAATCAGAAGAGCTGAACCCGTGCAGGTAATTTTAGTGGAGGACGAGGACTTTGATAATATGCCTCCAATCAAATCTAGTCAAAATAATCCTCCATCAACGCTTATTCCAAATGCTAATGCCAATCATAAACTGCCATCACACATGCAAAGTGAGCACAGACCAATCATTATGCACTCTAACCCTGGAAACAATCATAGTCAACATAGAGGAAGGGAAGGACGGTCAAATAGCAGGCAATTACCGGAGAAACCCAACCCCCACCAAATCAGAAGCCAAAGCCGAGATAGACATAGAGAACCCTCACCATTAAGGGTCAGAGGACGGGAACCTTCACCACTGAGAGACAACAGAGGTCGGGAAATGACTTCAAGGTCACAGGGGTCTAATCCACACATAATACCTGGTGCTACGAGACACAAATCATCACAAGCAAAAGAGGATAGAAAAACACACAGATCACAAAAGAGAGTGCAACATTTCCAAAGAGTGTCCTCCTGTGCCTATAAGGGACAGCAGTAGAGAACGGATGAGAGAGAGACTACAAAGTGGTGCTAGACTACGTGCTAGGAGCGAAGACCGGAGAAGCAGTAGATATAATGAGTTTGGAAATCGTTCAATTTTCACTGCTGTGGAATTTACAGATGATGCCACCAGCAGCAGCTCAGGATCAGCCCCCGGAAGCCGGAAAAGTTCAGTCAACACAGCTCGGCCACCTTCTCCAGATTCAGGTAAACGTGATTTTATAATATTCTGTCAATCAATAATGCTGTCATGTTTGCCTTGCTTGTACTTTTCACTTGTTTCAAATCAATTACCCTATTTACAGGGTAACTATTTCAACAACATAGTTTATTCTGAAAGTTGGTATAACATTTTGCACATTTTTCTGTCATTTCTCTATTAATTTGAACCAATAACAAATTATGCCAGTTTAATTTGTGACTGATAACGAAAAAGATGACTCAAACTTGAATGGATATTTTGTTATGAACTCCCAATTTATGGACAAACAACATTTTTTGACTTGTGTTTAAACCCAAAGTCAACCCTTCACAAACCTATGTACAATTGTTGATCATGCAATGCCTGTGGACAATGGAAATTTCTGTGCATTTGTTTTAAATTTGAGAAAGGAATGACAAAAAATATGAGAAAAGTTTGAACAGGAAAAATTATACTTTCAAAGGTTTAAGCTTCGCAAACACTTTAAAAATTTCAGAAATTTGTATACGTGGTAATAGATGTTTCATTTTATCAACACTGTGTTCTGTGGCATACTGCAATACACCACTGAGCGTAGTCAGTCTGTCAGCTACATGTACACTGCATTGCACCGCCATTTATCTATGTTAAATCTCTCTTTTAGAGCAAGTAATGTTGATGTTTTTTGTCTAATTTTTGTTGTTGGTCTTGTCAGTGTTTTATTTTCCAAGGAGCTCTTCCTGTTCTGTTGCCATGGCATCCAACACAACCACCTCTAGCACATCTCTGGATTTAGAATTGAGTTCTGTTGTGCTTAGACATCGTGCTGTTAATAGACAGCTTCGAGGTTTGCTTCACTTTATAGTTATAGCCACACCGTATTTGCTCTATTAGAAGAATATCTCATAAAAGCCACTAAATAATTTGTAAACACATTGTTGTCCATG